CTGGACTCCCGCGTTACCGCAGGTGCCAGATGGTGGAGCTTGTTGTTGTTGTTGTTGCTGTTGTTGTTGTTGAGCTTGCGCTTGAGCTTGTTGCGGCTGTTGTACATTTGGAGTGTAACCGGTGCCGGTTGGCTCCTGCTTCAACGTTGTCTCCTGATGATGGGTGTGAGAATGATGGTGGGAGAGAAGACCAGGATCGTAAGCATCCTCGTGACCCGTCAGCCAGGTCGTGGTGGTGGTGGTTGCCGTGTCGTGATAACCAGGCGGTGGGGGTGGTTTCGAATCGACCTGCAGCAATTCGACGGTCTCGCCGCTGTACGCGGTCGAGTGTAGGTTGGGGTGAAGGAACGGCTGGCCCGCCAAGGTTAAGGTTGGTGACGGTAATGGCGCCCACAGCTCCTGACCCGTCGGCTGTTGCGGTTGCTGCTGCTGCTGGTCGCCCTGGAGATTGCTCAGAGGCGAGGACTGCGTACAGGTCGTGGTGAAGACGCCGCGATAGGTCAACGTCGGTACGTTGCAGATATTCACGCTCGTCGCGGGCGCGGTAGACGTGGAATGCGGTGAGTATAAAATTACACCACTCTGCAGCGCGTTACAGCGATCCGCCTCGTCCTGGGTTTGATGGTGGCGCGACGGCGGGCTGCTCGAGGAAGGCGCGTTCGACGTGACGGCATTTCGCGCGTCCTGATGGTGATGATGCCGATGATCCCTACCGGCGGACGGACCGTTCTCGTCTTCCTCCGCAGTCGCCTCTTCTAGAGAGAGATCCTCGCTCGCCAGGCTGCCTGTGTGAAACACCGATAAAATCATCGTTTAGTCTCAATTTCAAACGTACCACGTGCATGTATGTCATCGTACATGTATGTTTCATGTCCTATATACGAAACGAATGGGTGTGTATTTGTATCGGGAACCGACAGGAAGAAACACGCGATACGGGGGTGACTTTATCTCTCAAAGGCTCTATCTTTTGTCTGCATCCTGCCGCGCGTTGTTACTTCCTTTCATACGCATATAATTGCTTGACTGACGTTGAGGAAGTACTCATCAAAATCACGAACAAATGAATGCTTGCAATACTGTGCAATTTTAGTTTATATAGAAAGATTTTACCGAATTCGATAATGTTTTCCCGATGTACCGTCGATAACTTGTCGGACATATCGCTGAGGAATAAAACACGAAGGAATCGTAATTGTGCGTTTGCGCTTTTATTAAATATACGTGCTTGCATGTCGGGAGATAAAAAGGTATATAGCAAACGCTTTTGTAAAGCTGTACGATAATCGGGAGGGTTATTACGGTACTGGGAGGGTGGCGGAGGTGGGGACGTGGCTGGAAGCATGAATGAACCGAACCGAAGGGATAGTGGGAGGAGGCGGGCGAGGAAGAGGAGGTGGTGATGCAGAGGAGGGTCTCTGAATGTCGGGGTCGTTGAGTATTGATCCGCGACAGGCGGACAGACCTTCGATATTACGTGTTTTCGCGGGCAAGTGTAATAAACGTCAGTAACACGCCTCGTGGCTCTTCGCCGCAGACGCTGTACCGGCTGATGCTTGCGCACCGCCGAGAGTGCGGTACTCGAGTACTTTGGACGATATCTAAATTTTCCCGCGAATGATGCAGATGTTAACGACCAGGCATCGAGGAACGCGAGGAGCTCGCGAACGTAGAATAGAAAGCGAAAGGTCGACGAAAGCGAAACAGTACGTATTCAATGAGCGCCGTGTTTTCGCCCATGTAATCCTGTTAATGTTCGCCGAATCACGAAGGATACAGATTGTATCCAATCGGTCCCGCGGGTCTCAATTATACAACAATGATCGCATACAGTATATTATATTGTCCCCCTTTGTTGCGTTACGCCATCAACGAAACGCATTCGGAGTAAATAAAGTCCTAACGATGAAGAAGTAGGTATTCGGTTAAAGCTGCGTTGAGAGAAACGAGAGGAT